GAGAGAGAGAGAGAGAGAGAGAGAGAGAGAGAGAGAGAGAAAGAGAGAGAGAGAGATTGATGGCAGGAGCAAGGGTCTTTTGTATCTAGCATCGTTGACTGTTGTTTTGAGATGTATCTCTCTTTCAGCTCTTTTGCCTCTGTCCGGCCTATAACATTGGCGAAACACATCCACAATTACAAATATTACCACAATGATGATCTAATTCTTAGACTGGCAAACGCTGCGTTGTCTCTAATGTCTCTACTGTTCTCTATGGAATACCCTGCTTGGGAAACCTTTAAGAGTTATCGATCTGAAGGCTTTATGAGACCGTCTGACAATGGCGGGCTATCAGGGGACAAAGCTACCTGTGAATGAGGGTGGGCATATTGGGTGAGGTGGCGAGACGGCGGAGTGAATAGGAGCGAGAATAGAATCATAAGAAGGGGCAAGGGGGAATAGGAATGAGAAGAAAGAACTACATAATAGGAAAGGAAAAGAAAGAATAAGAAGGGACGTGGACGATCAGGAGGGAGAAGAAAGAGCAGCATAATAGGACGGGGAAAGAAAGAATTGCATGGGAACGAAAGAAAGCGGAACGAAAGAAAAGGAAGGGGAAGGAACAGAAAGGAAAGTGCACAAACGAATAGAAAAAGGAAAGACAGAGCGAGTACAAGAACGAAAGAATAGGACCGTGCAAGAACGAATAAGAAAGGGAATGAACAAACAGACAGGAAGGTAACAGAAAGAATAGGGAGGGGGAAACACAAGAATGAGCAAAACACGGGAATAGAAAAGAAAGAGATCATGACGAGTAGGTGAGCACTCGTATTTACCTGGAAACGGACACAAAGGTTGACATGCGCGTATTGTGAAATGTCGGTGTACAAAAGGTTTGTTCTAGTAAATACGAGCAGGTAGGCTACATATTTATAAAGGGGCATGGACAGATTATTGTAACGCTTTAATCTGAGTAAAGTAAAAAAAAATGTTTTGCAGATAGACAGACAGACAGACAGACAGACAGACAGACAGACAGACAGACAGACAGACACACGGACAGACAGACAGACAGACAGACAGTCAAACATGCAGACATGTTTTAATCAGGGCTCTAGAAAGAATAAACTCCAATAGTTGTCAGTATATTGCGCAAAGACACCGGGTTGACAGATCTATCAATTATTCATGAAAGTGCGGGGCGTCGTTAAATCTTTGAGAACGCTCTTTCCGGTCATTCGACAACGCTTGAAAGCTTGCCGAATTGGGGCATTTAGAAAATAAGCATACCTTTGTTATTTACACAGTTTGCTGTTTTGTTTTAAAATAGCAAGGAACAACAAGAGAAGAGGGGGAGAGAGAGAAAGAGAGAAAGAGAAAGAGAGAAAGAGAGAGAGAGAGAGAGAGAGAGAGTGAGAGAGAGAGAGAAAGAGAGAGAGAGAGAGAGAGAGAGGATTACTACAGGAGCAGTGCAAAAAATGCAAATTCGTGTTTTAAATTTAGTATGATAGTTCCAATTTTACTACAACATTGCCTTTGGCTTGCTGTTGATCGGAGGAATGTGTTCGCTTCGTTTTCAAAGAGTTAATGGAATGGTTATATTATATATATATATATTTATGCAATTTTCCTTTACACACCAAAGACACGAGTTCGATTCCAACATTGTGATGTCTATTTCATCTTGTTTCTCCACATTTATGCTAGGCTATGCGTCTATGTGAAAGTGGGTTTAACCTGACAGACAACGTCTTCTTTTTCTGTTTCTGTTTCTTCTTCTTCTTCTTCTTCTTCTTCTTCTTCTTCTTCTTCTTCTTCTTCTTTCTTCTCATAAACGTTACTTCGCGGACCTTTCTGCAACGCAAAAACGTTGTCTC